GCCGAAAAATGTGTTGTTAGATCCTTAGAGATCCTCGGAATGTTCAAAGGTTTTTGTTTGGGCCGGAAAAAAACAACCCATGGGCCTTTCGAGGCTTCTGGGTAAGCCTTTAGGCGGGGGAGGGCAGAGGTTTTTGGAGGCAATGGTGTGGGGGGTGCAGGTGGACGAGGAGGAGATGGTGGGGGAGAGGGTTGTGGGCGATACCTTTTCTTGGGATATGCTCCAGTATTTTTGCTGGAGAGCGAGTCAACTGGAACGTCAAGGGTTTCCATTTCCACAACTTCCTCGAGACTTTCGTGTGAGGTGGAATTAAGAGTTTCGTCGTCTGAGATGGAAAGCGACCATCCCCCGCCTTTATCATTTTCATCCATTGCGATTAAATATCGCCGCAATGGTGTTTTTTGTAAAAAAAATTTACAAATAATTGCAGTAATTTCAAATAATATCAAAAATAGAAAAAAAAAATTATAAATATATATGTATAAACAAGTTGATATAGTTTCACTCTACTAACGAGTAATACATGCAAAAGAAAAAAAATCAAAAAAAATAAAAAAAATAATGATTATATACTATTTACAGAGTTTTGGATCACCCTAAGTATTACAAAAAAATAAAAAAAAAAAAAAAAAAAACGAAAAAAAATCAAGCGAAAAAAAAATTGGATTTTTTTGATCACCCTAATTAAACACCAATCTAATATTGGACCAGGGAAACAAGGGAGATGCTATACTGGCGAGAACAATACAAACGACACGATTTATACCTATCGCACTGAGGCGGCAGCAGACTGGAGAGATATAATTGTTTGATCCAACGGCTGCAGAGTCAATAACCTCGATGCTGGTGTGCCTCGGTCGACTCGGTAGGCAATATGACGCTCTTTCGTTGTTGCTATCGATGGGGTGATGTACCGATAGTGGTGATGATTTTGCTGATGATGTTGCGATGATGCTGGGTTAAAGCTGGACCGTAATAAAAGCACTCGGCATATCATTAACGGCTTCCTCACTCGCGCACTAGTTGTCTAGTTGCACTAGTGTTTCACTATGCCAATTAACTTTGGCGAGAAAAAACCCTCGCGTGGGGAAAAACTCGAAACTCAAATGATAGTGTCGTACAACGAGACCGATGCGACTTCACCGGCTCAGTGTGCGAGACGGAATGAGGGTGTACTTGCGCTTGTTTTTGATGACGGTGAACTACGTTGGCATGCATAGGCGTTGGCGGACGAAACGATGGGCGGGCGCGTCAAGGGCAACTTGCAGTTGTCCGGCCGATCCGGCGTCGGTTCAATCAGTGGCGGGACTCGCGGCCAGTGTTGAGAAAATATCAAAAAATCAAATCTCACCAACGCCTAAGATCACGTTTGAGTTTCGTAGACAAAAATCAACAAGCAAACAACTGCGGATGATTTTGCAAGCTGTGATATCGCAACTCGGAATATCAAGCTAACAAAACTCACCAACTGCAAATCTCACCAAAGTGTGGTGAGATTGAGCTTAATGATTTTTGCTTTACACCCGAATGCAACCGAAACTTCCATAATGGCTTGCAGCAGTCCCTTCACGCCTGCCATCGGTTAAGATTATAAAGATATAGCAAACTATGGTTTCTCTTTTTAAGAAAACGATGTGGAATGGAATCATTTTTGTGTCGAGTCAACTCTCAGCTTGATTTTTGCACGTTGTGAATAGTCTCGCAATATCAAAGGAGCTTGTAAAATCAATATCAAGCATGATATTTTGTTTTAATATCATGCGTGATATTGCGAGCGCATGAGAGCGGAAAAATATCAATTGATTTGTTTGGAACCAGCTGGCAGTAGGGGTCTCGTCTGACCGCCGGGGAGCCTAGCCTGGTTCTACAACACCGTCTTTGTTGCTACCACTGGTTGAATCTGGGCACGTGGTACGATGGCTTCTTGAAAATGGCCGAGCAGTGCTCGACAATCGACCCTTTGTGGAGATCCATTCCAAGATGGCGTCCGGGATGGCCACGCGCTTCGTTTGACCACCAACTTGCTTCGGGCGTCAATCCCTTGATCGACGGATGGAACTTCTGCAATTCTGGCCTTTCTGCTGAGAAATATTCTCCAGGATTCGATCCCAAAGGGGAGAAAAAGAAAAGGCCCGACTACGGACCTTATCCGGGACATAATTAAACATTCAGGAACGTACTAACTAACCGTTTTTAACACTGTTCACCAAACACAGCCTACTTTTAACCTCTTTTAACGTGTTCGAGGATTACTACACACTCAAAGAGAAGCACTTCTCTATCTTATAGAACGTTCATACTACAGAGTTATAACATGTTATAGCGCTATCTTGATGGTGGTTTCTGTGTTGCAATTATTTGAAAACCGTTATAACATGTTATAACTCTGCAGTCTGGACAGCGTTTAACAACGCTTTAATTCATTACTTTTATACACGTCGCGCACTTCCACTCTCTTCAGTGGTCAACGCAAGAAAAAGAGCTACGGTTACTAGGGATCATCTATTATATTTTTTACTCCTATAATTGATGAATTTACGCGAAACTGCACCAGTGCATGCGACACCTAGGTTTGAAATCCAAAACCACAAAAGTGATGATGTACTAAAAAATATTCCATACGATTTGACAGCTAGCAAAACGTCATTATCATTTTCACATCATTTCCATCTGCTGGCCGACCGTAACGTAGATTCATCATTCCGCCTCTTATCAAAACCATCAAACCAGCCTGACAATCATCGAATACCAGTTCCGACGAAAAGGATGCTGATAAAATAAGATCACCTTGCAATGCATTTCACCCGATCACTTGCACTTTTCTAGAACTATGTTATCGAGTGGGCACATTGTTTCAAGCTAAAACGCAATTAAAAAATCAATTCCAGAAAAACCGAACCTGTATCTGTCAACAAGTGAAAAAAGATTCCCGATCAGCATCTGAGTAGGCGAAATTCTCCGATGGCTTTGATGCACCAGTATCGAAGGATGCCTTTCATAAAAGCTTCTCTCTCGCGCAGAAACCCAATTTATTATGAACCTCTTCCAAGGAAGATCAAATCACTCAGCCTTGAACCAAAAGTTGCCACCTTTCTAGACAATTCTGTCAATAATTGCTCTTACAAAGTAACCTTCGAAGCCAATGACTGTACATAAGAAGCTACCAATAACTTGGAAATTGGATTCTATTTCAAGCGCAGCGAATAAGACCTTTCGAGAATTCGGTGTGTCTGACGGAGCTGCGATGGTATACTCCATCATCATCCTTCTGCTACCTACAAGACAAGCACTTAGCAATGGGTATTGCAAATTTTTCCGGGTGGAATCCTTTGTGCCGACAAACACCCACATCCGGCACAAAGTGTAAATTATTTTGGATTTCTGCAGCTTGCTCTCTTTCTCCAGCACCGCTGAAAATCCAACATCGGTGTCGCAGTCCTCAGTGGCATGCCATTGAAGTGACGCCGGAAATGAGATGCACGGAAGCTGTAATGAGTTCATCAAACCGGGGGCCTATTTGAAATCCATTTATCTTACTTTGAGTTCCGAGGAAACCAATTAAGTTAGCAATCCGGATGGATCAATTTAGATCGGTGGCTTTAAGCGGAGGAAGAGTGCAAGTTCGTTGAACCCTTCATTTTTGTGTGAGCTACAGTGTCATTAATGGAAACTGCCAATTCACATTGAATTACAATCCTTAAAGGTCCTTGTGCAATACAACTGGAGGACAACTGCCGGAACAAATAAACAAACAAGCAATCAAGCACACCTACCTGACATTACAAGAGGGGTAAGACAAAAGCCGGATGATAAACGACCATCGCTCGGATTTCACCGTTTCCGGACCACGCGCGGGTTGGGGTGGTTGGCAACGGAATACACGAAATCTGTCAATCCTTGCTCGATTCAGATCCTAATCAGTTTGGCGGATGAGCGAACACGGGAAGGGTGGGAGCTGAATGTGATAAGTGGAGGGCCTACTATTAATTTTCGCAATTTTCCTCCGCCTTCTTTGTCGGAATGTTGAGCAAGCGTTGAGAAGCAGTTGTTTACTTGGTGCTCTCATCGAATGATTGACTGTTTTTTGCTGTGTATAAATGGGCTACTGGATGACCGAACAACAACCTCAAGGAGGTGTTGGAAGGTGGAAATCGGCCTGGAGTGAATGTGATTTCGGAGGAAACATGGCTTTCGGTAGAAATTCCTTTCGTGAATGTGATGGAGTTCTGTTTTGTTGAATTTAGGGTATCAGGAAATGTGAGTTCTTGGAATAACGAGTAAAGTGGAAAGTGGATTGTTTTGATTCTATTGTATCACTGTTTGGAAGTGACTAGATGAGATACCGCCGTCTTCAGTTGTTGTGTTCTTCTGTTGAGTATATTTTGATATTTCTATTGAATACATATTTGTTGATTGTCAAAATCAGATTGGATATCAAAGAAACTTTTACGCTAGGTAGATACATTCAGTGGCGTATGAAATGACACCGCTTTCCTAATCTATTAAATCTATGACTCTGGATAAGCACTTCTTCCTCAGTAAAAAAAATATACTCAGATTCTTAAATCAATGTCATCTAGAAGGAAGCACTCAGAATAATGAAAAAAACACAAATGCAAACATCTTAGCTTACAACCTATTTACTATCACGTTTCAAACAACTTGAAAATTTCACGGTCACCCACACTTCACTTGGTGACTACTACCAAACCTACCAGCACCTCCCTTGGGACAACCGGAAGACGACACCAGAAAATGCAAATTATTTTCTAATTTATTTTTGGTAACAACTCGGAGCTTCTAACTAAATTAAACGAAAACGCGTTCGTGCCTTAGTTACCGACGGAGTGAATCGTTAGGAATTAATTTCAGCGTCACTTCCCTTGTCCGTTCTTCCGGCTTACCCCAGCTACAACTCGGTGTAAAACGGATATCTTTAATTAGTTTAATCTCTTCTCATCCGCCCTTCTCTCGTTCTCTTTGTTCCATTTTTTTTTCAGGATCGACATCCGAGAAATCGTAGCGTGCGCCACCACTAATTAGTTTGGAACCCATCGCCTACTTTTGGGACCTGCCGTTGGTGACGACGCGAGATGAGTCACAATCGAGCACCGCCGATACTGCCAACGACGAGCGACAAGAAACGATATAGCAGCCCCAGAAGCAGCACGATCAGCAGAAGCGGCCGGGAAGGTTGCTGCCATAGTAACGGATACTGTCATTTGTCTTCATCAACCTGGGTTAGTGCTGATCTGGCAAAGCTACGATGCTCACGGCTCATCATCACCGGCCCACAGTGATGATGCAGACTAAACTCACGAAGAGGACGACGATGAAGCTGGACACGAGAGAGTGTATATAATAAATATTACCACCCTGTAGAGGAATAAAGCAAACAATGTGATACTGACTTCAAGTCAAACATCCAAACACGAATGGTTAAACCAGTGATTAGGCCTTCTCAACCCTAGCTCCATTCTGTCTTAACTGTCGACAGCTAATAAAATCCATAACCCTAAACTCCCTTCTGCGATCCGGTCAGGTCCGAGGAGAGGTCAAACAGTCAAAAACTCGCTTTCAAATTTTCCAAACCCATAGAATATAAATATTTAGAAAGCTCGAAACGCAAGCAAAACCGCTCAGTACACATCACAGCAAGCAATCGAAACCGAAACCAAACTACGAATCGCAGCAACCCGAAAGCGCTTCGATTTTCAGTTGCGATATCCGTGAGCAGGAGGAGTATGACCCAGCTGTATCCGCTCGAGGAGCAACCGCATTTTTGTTCAGTTTACTGGGGAGCTTTCAACGGGAACAGCTCTAGTGGGAGCAGCAGCACCAACTTCAACTCGGCCGCCAGCATCAACTATGGCGGGACGCTTCGAAGTGGGGTGAGTTCCGCCTATACTATCACCGTTGTATTTTCCTATGCTGATCCTGCAAATCAACTCTTCTTTCCTTTTGACAGCTGTATGAGGACCCGCGGATAGAATACCTTCGGAAAATTTCCTACGGCATCGCTCTGCCCATCATCTGCGCTCTGGGAATCGTCGGCAACGTGCTGAATCTGGTGGTGCTAACGAGGCGAAATATGCGCGGGACGGCCTACATCTACATGAGGGGTAAGTTTGTGCCCCATTTTCCAAGGCGCTCTTTAAAATCTGACACACATATTTCGGTCCAGTTTAGGGGGATAGCGGCCGGGGGAATAACCCAATTCATATCAGAGCGAGTAAACATTCCCGAATTGCGCGAGTGCATTTGCCTTCTCCGTTCCAACTGAACAAACTGCTCCACTTCTCTGCCAGTTGTTGAAGATTTGTTGGCTTTAAAAACCTATCCGGAAATGGGTGCCACTGGAAAAATGCCAATTCCTGCTGTTTATGTTCTGGATGCGCTTTTAAGGGAGCGCAGCCAGAGTGGATGTTGTTTTCTTTTGACGATGGCATGGCATGTGGCGCACTGTCTCGATGCGATGGGGGAACAGAACAGTTTTCTACTCGTAAATAATAACAAAGGAGGCACTGGTTTTCTGGAATGCTTTCACTGTACGTGCTGGTTGCGGCTGGCAACGGGGGGACTCAATGGCCTGCTTTGTATTCGATTGGGATCGGTTTTTGGCGATCCTGTCCGGCACGTTTCGGTAGTATGAATCTAATTATCCTCTTTCGGTATTGAATTTTAATAAACTTAGATGGGCCTTGGAGTGGGAAAAGTTCTTTTTGCAGTTTGAATCGTTGCAAAGGGTTGTACGTAATGGTGACGTGGGACAACGTGGTCTTATATAATAAATCTTATTTATTAACTGCAGCAGGAGCTTGTGTTTTGTGTAGGACCCTGCTACACTCCTCCTCCTTCTATGGATGTTCATGTGGGCTGCAGCTCGCGGCTTACAGACAGCCTTTCGTTGTGTACTGGAGAACACCACCACTCACCACGCGGTGATTGAATAAACACCGTTTGATGAGACCGGATTGAATTCAACTTTGAAATCTGTGTTAGGGAAATCGCTTCTCGCAGGCAATCGGTGATAATTTTATTTTATTTTTTTCCTTGATTTGTTTTCCGTCGATCTTGTTTTCCGTGCTGAGCACCAATGCTCACGATGCTAGGGAGGCAGCTCCCACACCTGGACCGTACCTATCGACCCATCAACTCATGAACCGGGGACTAACTCCTTCCCTTCCGAAGGAAGGCGTGATCAGAGATGTTATGCCTTAGAACATCCCGGCGGCGCCGACTGGGATTGACCCAGGCCTGCTGGGGTGAGAGACAATCACGCTTACCACTATACCACCGGCGCCGCTTATAATTTTAAGTATCATAACAACAGTTGCACATCCGTGCAATTTTCAATAAGTCATAAAGTTTTAATCTTAACAGATTCGTAGAAAACATTCTTATCGATTGGCGTATTAAGAATTAAAATCCGTCATCTCTGGATCCAAATCAGACCACTTTCATGCCCCAACCGTCTTTGGTTTTTGAAATCTCACCCCCAATGTTGCCTTAAAGTACATGGTATGTTAGATATAAACATGTCTAGATAGAGCTGGAATTAGGCGTAACAGCTTTTGTAAACAATTACTTCTCTCGATGATTTTTAGGAATTCAAGCCACGCCCACGCAAACCAACATTTCCGTTGTGTAAAAGAAGCCTTACCCTGCCTGATAGTGATGTTGATTTGCGTGGGCGAGCCTTGACTTTCAAGACATCATCGAAAGAAGTCATTCTTGATATGGGAACTGATATCCAATTGATGACCTTGACAAATATCTAAAAATTATTCTCTTACAAATTTATGGTGATCCTGAAAAGGACCGTTTTGTCGTGATGGTTGAGTAATGCTGAGCTATTAGGGTGTTATACCCCGTTCACATTACAGCGTATATCACGTGATATACGCGGTCTTGCAATGAGCACTCATACATCTAGTTTTCACTGGAAATCCTATGTATGAGTGCTCATTGCAAGACAGCCTATATTGCATGATATAGGCTGTAATGTGAACGGGGTATTGAACACAGATGAGGCTGGTGAGCTGTAAGTTGTTTGGAATGAGGATGACGTGCTTGCCATAGATGGCCCATAGCTACTCACGAAGGTAGCTATGGGCCATCGCTGCTTGCAGACAGCCTTTCGTTGTGTACTGGAGAATAATGTTCAACGCCACGCGTCGAAATCATTGCTGCTGCTGCTGCAGCTGATGCAGACTACCGGACACCACCACACACGTGTTGGAGGTAGAAACCTAGCAAGCGACGAATAATCGAAGCAACCTACAAATAAATGTATTCTCATAGTCTGAAATAAAATGCCATTCCAAGTTTGTTTCTAATCAAGCTAAGACGTATTTTCAAGTAGTAGTAAATCCGGTCTACGGCCATATCACATTCAAGAGGTTATGGGCCTAGAAGAAGTTCAAGATGGAAAGATCCGGAATAACGAAGCTGACGAACGAAAACTACGAAACCTGGAAGCTGGAGGTGGAATTCCTGCTGGTTCGCGAAGGACTATGGAAGTACATCGTGCCCGGAGTCAAGCCGGAAGAGGCTGCAAACCGAGCGAACGCGGCGGAGCTGATTGCCTGGGACGAAGGGGATCAGAAAGCGCGTGCGACCATTGGACTGCTGCTGGGCTACGAAAACCGCAAAGGAAGTATGGAAGAATCTGGAGAAGCAACATGAAAAGAAGTCACTAACGTCGAAGGTTCACCTGCTGAAGCGGATTTGCGATCTCAAGTTCCAGAAAGGAGACGACATCGAGGACCACCTGGTAGAATTCAAGAGTTTGTTTGAAAAACTGGCCAACGCTGGTACGAAGCTCGACGACGATTTGCAGGTAATCCTGGTGTTCCGCACTCTACCAAGCTCTTTCGACGCGCTGACGACTACCCTCGAAAATCGGTCGGAGGACGAGCTGACGCTGGCCCTTGTAAAGGATAAAATTATCAATGAGGTGCAGAAGCGAAAAGGGACTGTTCCGGCGGATTCAGCGGTATTGAAGGTGGCCGGGAAATCGATATCCATTGTCAGAAGGTCGGCCACAAGAAGCGAGACTGCAGAATTTGGCAGAAGCAGAGCCAGGATGAAGTTTCTCGAAGTGAAAAATCGGTTGCCAAGGAAACCAAGAAGTTTGCCAAGCAACAGGCAAATGCAAGAAAAACGGAGTCCACTGAAGAGGATTTCGTTTTCAGCGCTCGTGAAGGACCAGTGACGAAATGGATCGTGAATTCTGGAGCCAGCTCCCACATGTGCGCCAATCGAAAGTTTTTCGTATCCGTTGAGAAACCACGAGATGATATCCCAAGTTTCGTTACTGTCGCTAATGGGAAGAAAGCATTCGTGAAAGGTGTTGGGGAATGCCAGATCCATTGCTACGGGAAAGACAGCGAAGCGAAGCAAATCGTGCTCACCGGTGTCCTGTACGTCCCAGATCTGGATATGAACCTCGTTTCCGTCGGGAAACTCGTCCAGAAAGGCACAGCGGTAGAGTTCAACGACAATGGCTGTACGATTGTCAAAGGTACACGGATTGTGGATGTAGCAAGGCGTAGCAACGGTCTCTACCACTTGCAGATGGAGGAACGAGTGGGTGTGGCAATTGAGCATTGCAATAAGAAGAACTGTTTGCATGACTGGCACCGTAAGCTCGGTCACCGTGATGTCAAGGCAGTCCAAGAACTGGAGCAACGACAATTGGCGACGGGCATCAATATTAAGCAGTGCGGTTTGGTTTTGCCTTGTGAGACCTGTCTGCAGGGAAAGATGGCACGACTGCCATTTCCAAAGGAAGCAACAAAGAAAACGACGGCTGTGATGGACCTGGTACACAGTGACCTGTGTGGACCAATGAGGACGGTGACCCCGGGTGGTCGTCGTTATTTCCTGACGCTTATGGACGACCACAGCCGGTACACAACGCTGTATCTGTTGCGAGAAAAATCAGAAACATTTGACGCTATCCAGGACTATGTGCAGAAAATGAAGACGAAGTTAGGCAGACCGCCGAAAGTGCTGAGATCCAACCAGGGAGGCGAATATCGTGGCTCGAAGATCATGACGTTCCTCAAGCGTGAAGGTATCCAGCAACAATTTACGGCAGCATGTTCACCGCAGCAGAACGGAGTCGCAGAAAGAAAGAACCGTTGCTTGGTGAAGATGGCCAGGTGTTTGCTTTTGGAAGCAGGTATGCATAATCGCTACTGGGGAGAAGCAATCAACACAGCAAGTCATCTGCAATACATGTTGCCAACGAAAGCGGTTAATCAAAATCCGTACGAGATTTGGCATGGAGTCAAGCCGGACGTTTCGAACCTGCAAGTGTTCGGAACATCAGCATACGTATTTGTTCCTGAAGTCAAACGACCGAAACTCGAATCCAAAGCCGAAAAACTTACTTTTGTCGGCTACTCGTTGCAACACAAAGCGTGGCGTTTCATCAGCATGAAGACGAACAAAGTGACGATTAGCCGGGATGCCCGTTTCCTGCCTTCGATGATCGACAAGGGGGAAATTTTCACAGAGGACGAAGATACGTTATTCTTTCCGTTATCGCGTTTCAATCAAAACCGTAGTCAGACGGATACACCGGAGGAGCTGAGGCAACCTGAACCAGCAATCGATCGTGAAATCATGGAAGAGGAAGATCTCCACGGTGTTGAAGAACATTCGGATGAAAGCCTGTACGAAGATGCTGATGAAGCAGAAGCACTCGATGGAGGTGAGTCACAGGAGGAGCCGGTACCAATCCACGTAGAGCAAGATGTAGGTACACAGCGACTATCAACCAGGGTGACGAAGGGTATTCCACCTCAACGCTACTGTGCCGACAGTCGGGTTGCACATCACGACAATGACGAGCCACGCACCTATCAAGAAGCTGTGACTGGTCCGGAGAAAGACATGTGGAAGCAAGCCATACAGGATGAATTGCAATCGATGTACGAGAACAACGTGTGGGAGTTGACTGGTAAGAAAACCATTGGATGTCGCTGGATCTTCAAAAAGAAAACGGACGAGAATGGAAGGGTCATCCGGTACAAGGCGCGGCTTTTCGCTCAAGGGTTTACGCAGAAATATGGAGTCGACTACGACGAAGTTTTTACTCCCGTGGTGAAGC